GATAGATAGATAGATAGATAGATAGATAGATAGATAGATAGATAGATAGATAGAAAGAAAATAATAATGGCTAAGCTTTTATGTTGTTTACTGTGTGCCAAGCACTGTGCTAAGCACTTTACAATTATGATCAAAATTTTAAAATAATTTGAGTTTTATTTTGTTACATTCAAGCTCCAAACTGTCTCCCTCCCTCCCTCCTCACCTTGCTCTAGAGAAGGCCACCATTTGACACAGATAGATATAGATATAGATGTAGATATCAATGTAAAACCATACTATGCATACTTTTATTTATCAGTTTTTTTCCTCTGGAAGTGGATAGTGTCTTCCTACATAGGCCCTTTGTAGCTAATTTGAATATTTATAATACTCAGAATAGCTTAGTCATTCACAGTTTTTCTCCAGACAATATTGCTGTTATTGTATATAACATTCTCTTGGTTCTAATGATCTCGTTTCATCCTCACAACAACCCTGGGAGGGAGGTGCTATTAGTATCCCTATTTTGCAAATGAGGAAACTGAGGCAAACAGAAGTTAAGCAACTTGCCCAGGATCATCCAGCTAGTAAGTGTCTGAGGCTGGATTTGAATTCAGACCTTCCTGATTACATATCCAGAGCTCTATTCTAGTTGGTGTGGGGGAGGGGGGCGAGGAGGGTGTCACACAGCTGTTAAGAGTCTGAGGCTAGATTTGAATTCAGATTCAAGCCTTGAGACCCAGCACTCTATCCCCTGCACCACCTAGTCTGAAATTGTAAGGTTCTACAGTTCTAAGGTTCTGAAACTCTGGAATCATAGACCCTTAGAACTTAGATTTTTAGGGACTAAAGTTGAAACCCACTACCCACTTCCTGTCAAGAGAGGTGATGGACTCCAGATGCAGTAGAAACACCCCTAAAAAGGTAAGAATTTTAAATAGGTTATATATGTGCAATCATGTAAAACATATTTCCATATTAGTCACGTTCTGAAAGAAGAAACAGACCAAAAGGAAAAACAAAGCTTGAAAAAGATAAACACAGTGAAAATTGTATGCTTCAGTCTGCATTCAGACTCCATTGGTTCTTTCTCTGGATGTAGATAGCATTTCCCATCATGAGTCTTTTGGAATTGTCTTGGATCATTGTATTGCTGAGAAGAGCTATGTTATTCATAGTTGATCATTGTACAATGTTGCTGTTACTGTATACAATGTTTTCTTGGTTCTGCTCACTTCACTTCATATCAGTTCATGTAAGTCCAGGTTTTCTGAAATCCACCAGCTTGTCATTTCTTATAGCACAACAGTATTCCATTACATTCTTGTTTGTGTGACATAGGAGACACGTGCCCAGCATGGTATGCCCTCATCAGGGAAGGTGCTGAGCTCTTTGAGGAAAGCATAGTTGAAGTAACTCAAAAGAAATGTGAGATGTGCCGATTTAAAGAATCCACCCCAAATGTTCACACAGACTATTTGTGCCTTACCTGTGATAGAGCATTCCAAGCTCATATTGGTCTGATCAGCCGCAGTCAGAGACACTGTAACGACTCTAACAGAGTGATGTCATTTTGGTCCTCTTCGAGGATGAAGGACAACAACCAGTATACCACAACTTGTTCAGCCATTTCCCAGTTGATGGGCATCCTCTCAATTTCCAATTCTTTGCCACCACAAAAAAAATCATGCATGCATTTTTTGACACGATCAGGGAATTTGTTTTGCTGAACTATGCATGTTTGTTGAGAGGGTTTTATTTTTCATTTGTTGTTGTTAAGTGGATCGAGGAGGGAGGCTGCAATAGGAGGAAGTGATAACAAATACGTGTAAAAATGAATAAATGAACAGGTGCAGAAATTAACAAATTGGTAAAAAGATAAAGAGATAGATAAATGAATGAACTACTCATAGTCTTAGAACCTTAGAATCATGGACTCTTAGAAAATTCTTGTTATTTCTCGCACAAGACACTCCATCTCTTGACTCCAGGCATTTTCACTGGCTGTCCCCCATCCCTGGAATGCCCTCCTCCATCACCTGTTATGCCTCCTGACTTCCAGGACTTTTCTCAAATTTCCACTAAATTCCCACTTTGTATAGGAGCCTTTCTTTCCCCTTAACGCTAGTGCCTTCCCTCTGAGAGTACCTCTAATTTATCTTTATGGACATAGTTGTTTGCATGTAATCTCCTCCATCAGAATGTGAGCTCACAGAGGGTGAAGACTGAGTCTTTGCTTTTCTTTGTATCCCCAGTGCTTAGCGCAGTGCCTGGCACGTGGTAGGCACTTAATAAATGTTTACTGACTAACTACATAGTTGTTTGTATGTTGTCTCCTCCTTAGGATGTAAGCTCCTTGAGGGCAGGGACTAAGTCTGTGCTTTTTCTCATATACCCTGGCACTTAGCACATTGAACATAGTACTTAACAAATATTTATTGACTGACTGACCAACTAACTAGAATAATAGAATCATCGATCTAAGGATCTTAGACTCTCATAGAATCTTAGAATTAGAGAAGTTTAACTTATTAAAATTCTTAGAACCTTAGAATATTATACGTAGAACCTAAGACTTATAGACTAATAGAACTTCAGCCTTACCAACTCTTAGAACCTTTAGAATCTTACACTCTTAGAGCCTTAGACTTGTAGACTTAGAATCTTATATTCTTAGAACTTTAGACTTATAAGCTCTTAGGATCTTATCATTTTAAATTCCTAGAACCTTCAACATATAGACAGTACCCCAGATAACAGATTCTTAGTCAATAAATCAATAAACATTTATTAAATTCTTATAATGTGCCAGGCACTGTACTAAGTGCTGGGGATACAAAAAGAGGCAAAAAAAAAAAAATAGTCCCTGCCCTCCAGGAGCTTACAATCTAGTGGAGGAGAGACAATATGTGAACAAATATGTACAAAGCAAGCTATATACAGGATAAATAGGAAATAACAGAGAAAAGGCACTAGAATTAAGAAAGGTTGGGAAAGGAAAAGATGAGATTTTAGTTGGGATTTAAATGAAGCTGGAGAAGTCAGTAGGCGGAGTTGAGGAAGGAGAATATTCCAGTCATGTGAGACAGCCAGAGAAACTGTCTATAGCCTAGAGGTGGAGTGTCTTGTTCATGGAACAGTCAGGAGGCCAGTGTCACTAGATTGAAGAGTATATGGAAATTAGGTGTAAGAAGACCGGAAAGGTAGAAGGGGGCTAGGTTATGAGGGACTTTGAATGCCAAACAGAGCATTTTGTATTTGACCCTAGAGGCAACAGGGAGCCACTGGAGAATGTGGGGGTAGGGGAAGAGTGACATGGCCAGACCTGAGCTTTAGGAAAATTTCTTTGGTGGCTAACTGGAAGATGGACTGAATTTGGGAGACATTTGAGACAGGCTGACCCATCAGCAGCTAATGTAATAGTCCTGGGATGCACTATAGAGGACCTGTATTAGAGGAGTGGCATTGTCAGAGCAGGGAAGGGAGCATATGTGAGAGATGTTGTAGAGGTGAAATAGATAGGTCTTGGTAACAGCTTCGATATGGGGGGTGAAATAGAGAGAGTGAAAATCTCAGGATAGCTCCTAGGTTTCCAGCCTGAGGGACTGGGAGGATAGTGTTGTCCTCTACAGTAATAGGAAGGTAGGAGATGTGGAGGGTTTAGGGGGAAAGATAATAAATTCTGTTTTGGACATATCAAGTTTAAGATGTCTACTGGACATCCAGTTAGAGATGTCTGAAAGACGTTTGGAGGTGTGAGGTTGGAGGTCGGCAGAGAGGTTGGGACAAGATAAGTTGATTTGAGAAACATTGGTGTAGAGATGGTAATTAACTGTGAAAGCTGATGAGATCACCAAGAGAAATAATATAGAGGGAAAAGAAAAGAGGGCCCAGGACAGAACACTGGGGGATACCAGTGGTTAGGAAGTGTCATCTGGAGGAGGATCCGGCGAAGGAGACAGAAAAGGAGCAGTTAGATAGGTAAGAGGAGAACCAGGAGAGAGGATTGTCATAAAAACCTAGAGAGAAGAGAATATCAAGGAGGAGAGAGTGATCAAGAATGTCAAAGGATGCAGAGAGGTCAAGGAGAATGAGGATTGAGAAAAGGTCATTGGATTTGGCAACTAAAAAGTCATTAATAACTTTGGAGAGAGTAGTTTTGGTGGAATGATAAGGTCAGGAGGCATATTGTAGGAATTTAACTACAAAGGACAGTAGAAATATAGGATGATAGCGGGCATGGAAGGATCAAGTGAGGATTTGGGGGTTTTTTGAGG